GATTTTGTTATTATTATGTTCTTTGAAAGGGAAATATAATTTTTTATTCCTTTTGTAAAGAGCGTGATGTTTTAGTGTCCACTATATTAGATCAGTTTACACAGGGCCGTAGGACGGTGCAACAAGTTACCGCTGATACCAAATTGTTTGAGGAAGGTCAATTAGGGAAAAGTCCATCTGGGTAAGATTAAAATTATACAAGAATTATTTTCGTGTTATTCTAAAATTAAAAATATTTGTGTTGTAACAATGAAAAGATATTGAATATTTAAAAAAAATAATACAACTTTTAGTGGCAATTTGTCAACGTATCGAGAAATCTGTTCCCTCGCGACAGAATTGCAAAAGCCCGAGCTCGTATATTATTTTATGCATTTGGCAAATAATAATGCAATATGGACATCTAAGAAGGGAGCGGCATTTGGTTTCGCGGCGATCGCTAGTATCGCGAAAGACGAATTGAATAAATATCTGCCTAGTATTATACCACGATTGTATAGATATCAGTTCGATCCTACGCCTAAGATCCAGCAGAGTATGACCAGCATTTGGCGGGCCGTCGTTCCTTCAACGTCGAAAGCCGTTAGTAATAGATATTATTATATATATCTGTCAATAATATTTAATATCACGTGTAATGGAATGAGCGTAAAAATATGTTTTTTTTTTATATATCACCATACAGATCGAACAGTATCATAAAGAAATATTGACTGATGTAACCGATAATTTAACCAATAACGAGTGGAGAGTGCGTATCAGTTGTTGTAATGCTCTCGCAGATCTTTTAAGGACAGCGAATGTTCAACTCAATTTGGCCGAATGCGGTCCAGAACTGTGGAAGAAACTGTTTCGCGTAATGGACGATATTCACGAAGGCACGCGATTAGCCGCGACGAACACCGCTAAAATACTTAGTAAGGTAAATCGGGAGTTTTTTTTTTTAAATAATGGTGGTTTACAAATAATTGCGTGAGGTATTTATATCTATATTTATATTTAATCTTATACACAGGTTTGTATACGTCATTGCGATTTCTCGCATGGCAATGCGGGCAAAGAAGTTATTCAAGCGATATTGCCCGTGCTACTTGATATTGGGATTACTCATACTGTGGACACGGTGAGATCCATTTCATTGCAAACGGTGTCTCAGCTCGTGTCTACGGCTGGCATTTTATTAAAACCGTCGCTCGTCAGTTTAATACCGTCATTATTGGAGACAATTGGTGAATCGGAGAATCCTAAGCTTTCGTATTTAAGCAACGTGTGCGGCGCAACAACGGAAACTCAGGAAGCTATTGATAATCTTAGAGCCAATGTTGCCAAGGGTCATTATGCGTCGGATACAATAACAAAGGTACTTTATCTAGCCAATCTAGAAATTTTGGAAATAAATTTGATATATAGAGTTTTTTTTTAATATCTTGATATTTTCTTCTATACAGTGTATCCAATATATTGATGCTGATGTACTGAAGAATTTAATGCCAAAAGTAATAGATTTAATCAAATGCAGCATAGGATTTGGAACAAAAATTGCTTGTTCGCATTTCGTAATTCTTCTCAGCACACACCTAAAATCAGAATTGCAGCCATATAGCGGTTAGTAAATATATTTTAATTTTAGAACATGTGTGTGAAATGCACAATATTCTTATTATATGAAATTTAATCTAATCTATATATATTTAAACTACTATCTCGTAAAATATTATATAACAACAATTTTTAACATATTTTATGCAATTTTTATTCAGTTTTTTCAATTTTTATACAATTAATCATTTTTATCATTTCCCATCTAGCTAAAATTTTATCTGCCTTACTTAATGGTTTAATTGATCGTAACGCTGCTGTGAGAAAAAATTATGCAATTAGCATTGGTCATATAGTTGGCTCGGCTAAAGATTCTAGTCTGGATAAATTATTTAATACTCTAAATACATGGTATTTGGAACGTGAAGGTACATCTAAATTCTAACAGTACATTCTTTATTTTGTATAGCCTTATATAATTTTGTTTCATGAAACACCAAAACAAAAAAAAAATTATAAATTACAGATGATGCAATAAGATTAGCAATTGGACAAACTTTGCAATCCATAAACAATTATAATCAAGAGAAATTAAAGAATTATCAAAAGATAGTCATTCCTCTTGCCTTCTTCGCAATGCATGCAGAAAAAGTACCAGGTTTGTATTCCAATATTATAATTTGTTATTTATAAATATATATTTCGTGTTTTTTTCTTTATACTACTGCTATTTATTAGGGAATGAAAGCACTATTGAATTATGGACTGATCTTTGGAACGAAATAACGCCCGGGACCGAAGCGGGAATCATGCATAATCTGCAAGCAATAACCGATATTTTAAATACAACTCTCAAATCGGCATCGTGGACTACAAAAGTACAAGCCGCGAATGCGGTTCATACCATTGCCTTAAAGTCAGGTCATAATATCGATATAGAAGCCAGAAGTACTTTATTAAAGATACTGACGGACGGTCTGCGTGGCAGAACGTGGGATGGAAAGGAACGTTTATTAAACGCTCTCGCAATGTTAGCGTGCAATAGCAAGTATGTATATCAGATATTTTTATTTAAAACTTTACAATATTTATATATACGAATAAGTTAACTTGTTATATATATTTGTCAAATGTATACGATATATTGCAGAGAAGCTTTAAACGCGGATACTGCATTGCTAGATACAATTGTGTTGACACTACATAGAGAAAGTAAAAAAGAGAACGCCGAGTATCGTCGAAGTGCTTTACAAGCTTTTGCTATGGTGTTACATGAACTTGACATTGATAGATTTACAGAAACATATGAAATTGTACAGGAAATTTTGATTAAGGTGAGTTGTATTAATAAATAATATTATAAAGAGATAGCTGTAAATAAATATGTTATATATGCATCCTTTTATATTAGATATCTGATAAAAATAATGATGACGAAGAAGATACTGCAGAAGAAAGTAGAAAGAAAAAGGAAAATAATATAAAGTTGCAAGAAACGGTTTATGAAGTACTTGGAAAAGCATGGCCCTCTACCAAAGAAACACAAGGTTAGATGCTTGGTCAAATTTTCTTGTAATTTAGTAAATGATAGAAATGTATATCTGTATCTATGTTTTCGATATTTTTTGTTTGCAGACAAATATTGCATAGAATTTGTAACTCACTGTCAGAAAGTACTGCCAAATAGTACGAGATCTGTGCAAATCACCATTTTGACGGCGTTAAATCTCTTTGTGGATAAACTTGTCATATTAAAAATAAATAAAACGGAATTATCATCAAAAGATAAGAAACTATTAGATGAAATAAGTGATAGTTTTAATAAAATATTATCATATTGTATAAGTAAGTATATACATTATAAATCTCTTTCTCTCATAAAAATATAATTAAATATATGTATATTAAATATATTAATTCTATTTGACAATATATCATATATTACTATATTACATTTTTTATAGCATTCAGATTCATATGACGGAAATGCATTTTCTTTTTGTAGATATTTCAAAGTTCACCAGAATTAGAAAAGAAGCATTGAATATAGTTCTTTCGTTAGGGAAAAAGATGCGCGAGACGAGTAACGACGAACAGCTCGACAAGCTGACGCGCGTTTTGAAAGAACTTTTGCCCGATCTAGCAAAGGATAACCAACCAGAAATACGGACCAGAGTTGTTGACATTAAGGAAATGCTTAAAATTTAACTAGCCGTGCGTACCTTAAGAGTATATCCCGAATCGAATTTACGTATCCGCACATGTCGCATATTGTCGTACAGTTGTTGGAGCGATAATAACAAAAAAAATTCTGATAGCTATGGTTGCGTGTTTATTTAAATATGTTAATGTAGATGTGCCTAATATAGTGTTATATCGCTTAATAAGATGTAATTTGAAACTCTTGTTTATAATATTCCTCATTCACGCCCATGTATTATACCTCAGTAATGGATCAAACGATGTTAAAATTATTGTTTAAATATTCAATTCTCATGAAAATTCTTATTCGAAATTGTTTACGTTAATACATATCGTATTTGTGCATTCTATATCCATAATTTATATCGAAATATTACGATTTAATTGGTTTTGTAAATATTCAATCATTATTTGAAATTGAACATTTTATCTAGTTTTATTGAGATTTCAAAGATTTTATTTAAAAACGATGGCAAAGCTTAATTTTCAGATTGTTTCAACCTCCAACTGCACGAGAAAATTCTTATAAAATAGTGTCTTTTTTTTTACAGTATCTTAAATTCTCCTATGATATATCTATGGTCTATTAAATTGAAATTTTTTTTATTACAGCAATATACTGATAAGAAAAAGTTGCCTTCCCTTTTTTCAACATAAACAATTTTTATGAGTTCTGTTCACGGGATTAGTTCAAACTGTTATACCTAAAGTGTTCAAAAAGATTATTTCGAACTAAATGATAGAAGAATCATAAAGTCATTTAAAGTCTTAACGAGATAGATCTTATTGTTAATCTAAAAGGAAAAGAAGACTGTAATTTGAATATTCTGTAAGACATACAGAGAGAGAGACAGTAAAATAAAATCTATACGTGCACAATTCTTGGACAAACTTCCGCAGATAGATACTGGTAAGAATGCAAGTAAACAACTCGGAAAAATAATTAAATGTTTCGTACTCGATTATTAGCAGAATACATAAAATGATTAATTTATAATTCCTTTAATTCTCCTTTTTGTGTGTGTTGTTTCACTATAATTATCTTTTTAAATATAATTTTACTAAAATTGGAGCACACAATCTCTCTAGATAAATGCGCAATGAACAATGTGTAATAAAGCGAATTTTTATGATTAGTCTGATAAAATTTACTTCGGTATGAATTGTAAACATTAACCATTTTCTTTTTCCAGAATATTTAATTAAATATATTTTTATTTTTTAATTAAATTAAATATAGATTAAAAAAGAAATCCATCTTATAAAAAAATTAAGAGTTTATTTTATTTATTCTTACACATACACTATTATAAAATTGAAAATGTAAAATTAAGTTTTAAAAAACTTAATTGTACATTGTGAACACACATAATATGCTATGTGTACATATATATAAAATATTATGCAATATATATACATAATATGATGACCATAGATATAAAGATAGACTATTTCAAAGCAGAGACAAAGCAATATAATTAATTTGAAGATAGCCAATTGCACTTTTTCTCTCTGTTTTCGAATATATCCAATGTATATAATATAAAAAAAATATAGCATATTTTCAGTCCATTTGTATGTCTATGGATCATATATTATAATAATAATTCATATTATACTTTCAGTTTTTTTTTATTTCATTATGAAGCGATGAATAATTTCTTTCTTCTTCTAATTTTTTTAATATTATTGATTTTCCAGGACTCTTTTTCAATTTGAGATCTTCCTGTATCTGTTTTAATTTGCTTAGCAATATAGATGCATAATTTGTAGATTCATTCTCTATGAGTAAGATTATTAAAAAGCAACTTCTGTTACATTCTATCCATTTTTTGAGTACTTCTAATGTTAAATGTGATAGCAATGCGCTACCAAATATATATTCATTCTTTTTCAACAGCTCCTTGTCATTTTGAATAAGTTTCTTCAACATCATATGCAACCCGGGATGTTCAATCAATTTGCATTCAGTATCGTTTTCCTTGATCTTCGTATTTTCATCGCTGATAAACTTGGCAATTGATTCGAATGCAGATTTGAGTTTTTCCCCAGATCCTGCTTTTAATATCGCTAAAGTAACCATAGCTATAGCGCTATTGGACAACCACGTTGCTACATCCGCGGTTACAGCGTCAAGAAGTGGATCGCGAATCGCTTCGAGAAGTTCCTTTTCCCTAATGTCGGCTGGTTTCTTACTTATCGAATTATTGTCGCCTTGACATAAATATTCCACGACACTTGGCGGAAAATAATGAGAGTCCCTTCTAGCCACGAGATACAATATTACCTTCCTCCCATACTCGTTTAGTGCAATATCCGTTAGATCTTCTTGCAATTCGGCCAATATTATCTTCTTCATTATAACTGTATCATCTATAGAATCGAAAAGCGCTAATAATATCATGTAACCATGTTCGGACATACAAATCGTCTTTACATTCCCCTTGAAGGCCTTCATAATAACTTTTCTGTCTTTATTATTGCCATGCCATATGCATTGTGCGGCGACTCTCGCTCCCATTTTTGTTTGTGATAGCGTTACGATAAAATCTCGCAGCATAACTATCAATTCATTCTTGTCTTCCATCGAACACACACAGAAGAATTCCCATAAAATTGTATGCAGTAGAGTGGAATTAACGAGACTTTTATTTAAAATCCTAACCAGATTCGCTTTCACGGCAGATAATGTAGCCGATTTCATACCTTCCGCATTTTCGAATACATCCGACAGTGATTTAACCGATTTATCTTTCGCCTGTTTATATATGTCCCCGTAAAATTCTTGCTTGAAATATATTTTATCGAGGTCCATGCACCAAGTAGAATACGCGAGTTCGATGAGAGGAGCCGATACAGTGTGACTCATAAATTTGACGATATTACCATAAAACGCATTGATAACATCATTCTTGATGTCTCGCGAGCCATGTTTTAAAATATTTTTTATGCAGTTTTTCGCGTATTTTGATTCTAACATCTGCACAGCGAATGGCTTTATTTCATGAAATATAGCTTTTCGAACATCTGCTTCGCAGTGCTTGATCAGGTATTGAATAACTCTCGACATATCATGTGTAAATATCACTTTGCTATAGTCCTTCTCTAACATTTTATGTAATGTCCGAGTTAATTTTATTCGATCCTGCGACGTGCAATCCGATCTACGTAATTTCTCGCTGATCTGTTTAGCCTGAACAATTTTATCGTATACCGTGTCATTATTCAATTTCTTAGCTCTGCGTTTCTGTCTGAGCTCCTTTCTTTCCTTTTTCAATTTGAGCCAATCTGTTTTTTCGGTTGTTGCATCATTCTTAGCCAGTTGCAAATTATTTCCTTTTGAGTTTTCTTCTTTCTCGACTTTAGGTTTCTCTCCAAACACTTTTTTTTTCTTTGATTTAAGCAAATCTATTTTCTCAGCTGTTGCTCTACGGTTTGCCACTTGTAAATTTGTTCCCTTTGAGTTTTTTTTTGTAAAGGGTGTCTTTATATTATTACCTGCAAAAGTATTATTATTTTTATATATATAATTTTTCTCATACTTTGTATTTTTTATTCTTTTATTCTTACCTATAGGTTTCTCGAATTTCACTTTCTTCTTTTTATTATTTGTTGTTTCTACATCATTCTCTGTATTTAAATCGCCAATATCTAAATTCTTTGCTGGTCGCTTCATCTTTGAATTGATATCTGAGAAATATATAACATGCTATTCAAAGAGTAGATATCAAACCTTAATAAAAATTACGCATTTGACTTCTTTCGTAACACATTCTTTAATAATATTAAAAAATCAACGAAAAATATTCAAAATTTTTTGCTTATGTATATAAAAGCTTTATTTTACCTTAATTTAAACTAACCTCTTAATGTGCAAAAAATGATTTTTAATCAAATTTATCTTGAAAAAAATCGCAGAGCAACTTAATTTTACACTGCCAACACGAGATAAGAATAGAAAATGACAACAGAAGACACTTGAATAATAATCTAAGAAAATACTTTTATGGAAGCAATATTACTCACAAAATCCAAAATTTCACCGTGTGATATTTTCACGCACGTGCATATAAACTATGCATTCGATTACGTGATCTTTCTACGAGCTTACGCTCGTGATTGGTCGACTGCATTGTGAATGTGCCTGCGATTGACAGGTTCGATATTTCGATACTACTCGAGATTCTCGATCGTAATACTTCGAGAATCGCAATATCGTTTCTCGATAGACAAGTCGCATCGCGATCAATCACGAAAAGGTATCGCGAATTTTTTAGTCTCGCTCTGTTTTTCTCGCGATATCGTTATTATATTTAAAGGCGAATTTGACGCGAATCGCGCGAATATCTCTCATGGTGCTCGGCGTGACGTCACATTTCAAACGTAATATCATCTCCTCGCGATTGTACATTGCGCGATTTCATTAATCCGGCGAATCTCTTTTGCACGCCTGCCATTTTTCTTGTATCATCCGTGGCCGTTGTTCGAAAATCCTCTTCGCGTATCTCACGTCGCTCCCTCCTGTCAAAATGTGTGAAAAAATGGTCGCACCTCGATCATTGCCAGGTATATATATATATAGTATATACAGGGTGTTTCAGGTCAGGTCAATGAAACTTCAAGATCTTATAGGAAATTGAATTTGGAACAAAAAAGTTTCTATCAATATAGGTTCAGAAACGCTTCGTTAAAAAGTTATAGCTAATAAACTTCAAAAAAATCACAGTTTTTTTGATGATTTTTAAAAATAACTTCAAAACCCTTCATTCATTTGAAAGAAAGTAACGAAATAAATCTGATAGGTGATTAAATAACAAATTAAATTACACCAATTTCATTTAATTTTGATAAGGCGTTCAAAAAGAAATGAGCTCAAAAAACAACGAAAAAAGCAGAAATTTAAAAAAACCACCTTTCGATGATTTTTGTGTAACAACAATTCGTAGTGCAAACATTGTAAATGCAAACATAAAAATGTTCTTATTAAATTTTGATCATAACTAATTACTTGCAGAGAGTTTATCAGCTTTAACTTTTTAACAAAGTGTTTCCGGATTTATGTTTATAGGAACTTTTTTGTTTCAAATTCAATTTCCTATAAGATCCTGAAGTTTCATTGACCTGACCTGGAATATCCTGTATATACAATATATATCGTTTTTTTGTAATTAGATACTATTTTCTAGCTCCGCTCCTGGTCAGGCGACGAAGGGGGGAATTCGCGGGAAGTCTCGTTTACGTCACCTCGAGCAGCGGCGGAAGACTAGAAGCGGGCTCGTCTCGGTGTATATTTTTAACTTCAATCTAATCTTCCGCAGGTCAGCACTTCGAGAGTTCGTCCGCATCGTAATGCGGTGATCGCGAAGCGAGAGTGCATGGTGCATCATACATCATACCTCGGCAAAACGTGCAACAATAAGGAGAATCGATCGATTTACACGGAGGAAGGAGAGAGAGAAAGCAAGAGAGAAAAAGGAGATAGAGGAGATAGATAGATAGATAGAGAGAGAGAGAGAAAGAGAGAGAGAGAGAGAGAGAAAGAAAGGCAGCGAGACAAACGGCGCGCAACAGGTGAAAGAACGTAACAAGCATGCACGCGATCAGCTGATAGATTTACCGGGCAACGAGTGGAGTCTGGTTGATTTAATATCAGCGGTGTGACATTAAACGCGCGCGTATTCGTGTATGTATGTGTGTGTGTGTGTGTGTGTGTGTGTGTGCGTGTGTGTGTGTGTGTGTGTGCCAGGGACATCAAGAAAATGACTTGAATTCGCTTTTTGCTACGAGTCGTATTTTATCGTTCAGTTGAAGTTAAATGAAGCTTAAGTAATCTTCACGTTTCCATCCGATTTTGTTATCAGATAGAGCACCGCGATTAAATCTCACTCTTAATTAAATGTTTACAAGAGAACATGACGTTGTAAAAAATTTTCTAAAAATTCAGACACATTTTTGTCTGAATTCTTCAAATCTAGATATCTGAAAGCGATTTCAGACAATCCGTCTTAATCATCAGAGTTGTTTTTCTGAAAGTTCAGAAAAATGTGTCTGAAAATTGAACTGTGTTTTAAAATTCAAATAATATTCTGTCTGAAAATTCAGGTAGTGTGTCTGTAAACAAGCTGCAGACACTATCTTTTAATCATCTTTTTTTATAGTGTTTATATTATCAAACACACACACATGCGCGCGCGCACGAACGCACATTTATTTGTGATGAGCTTTTATGATATATTTGAATAGACTTATTTTATATACATATATATATATATATATATATACATGCGTACATATTATTATCTTCAGCTGATCGTGCTCTTACTTGGAGGTCATCCGTCAATAGACAGCGCGTCGCGGGTGGCGCATGCTATACAGCGACGCGATGTCACGTGCACGTCGTTTCGTCGTGTGCCTCGAAACGTGTCGGTTCCGAAGTCACTCAATTAAAATCGGACTATGTCACTTTACAGACTTTTTACCATTTTCAAGTAATATCAATACAAAGCATACTGTTCTCTTTCCACAATCCCGAATTAAATATGAAATATCGTGCTAATCAAATATCTATTTCTAATCGTTAATAAACTAAAGACAAAAGCATTTTTTCTCGTAAATTATTTTATGTAGCGATCATGGCGACGAAACGAAAAATGCACATATTTCGCTTCATATTGCGAATCTCTCCAGAGCACATCCCGATGTACACACGCGCGAATACTCGTTAAGGCAATATACGATATCGCGGATGAGCATTTACTAACGCACGTTACAATTGCGACGATTATTTCGCTGGCTTTTCGCAGAATACTCGTGACTCTTTTTTATCATGATTATTTTCCGTAAAACTAGAGATAAGTATTTTCAACGCGCGTAGCAAATCACAAATAAGCTACATAAGCAGATTCTATTAATGATGCAATAAAGCTAGCGCCAGACTATGCGCGTATTCGCAATTCGTGATTCATAATTCGCGATTCGTGAACGGTATAAAGAAATCTGATTGGTTGAATTTGACGAATCTTCCATCCACACTATTCACGAATTATAAACGAATCGCGAATACGCGCATAGTCTGGCGCTAGCTTAAGATTTTATGTCATTTTAATTTTAATTTTATGTCATTTTAATTTTAATTTTGTCATTTTAATTTTAATTTTGTCATTTTATCTTAATTTTATGTACCAACCATATTTTATATTGCCTTAACAGAGATAATTTTGCACATACATTAAAGAAGTCTAAAACCGAAATATCATGAAAATTAAGCAACAAGTGAGAAGAATGTCTCGAATTTTTGTTAATTTAACCCTTCCCCATTTTACGGGGAGGGGGGAGGGGAGAGTAGGAATTTCTTTCTCCAAACTTATTTTAAAATCTCATTCGTTTCGTTTTCTGTTGAGCTGAAACGCTCGGGGAATCGCGACGACGTTCGCACGCGGATCACGTCGCGAATGCGCGATTCTACAATACTTGATTCGCGTACGTGAAATACTTACGAAAACTCGGAAAGAGCTCGGGGAATCCTTGAGACCAGAAATTATGAAGAATGCAACGCGCTCTTCCTGCGCAATGTTCGCGCTCGTTCGCAAACTGTATTATCTTCCTCCTCGTTTGTCAGTCGCTTTTGTCACGAGTAAGTTTTAAACCGCGGATTGCATCTCTTTGCCTCCTCCCGCATTAAACATAATATCATAAATAGACCTTTTTACACGCGAGTTTTGCGTTAAAATGAAATTATTTTAAGCGTAATGTCGTAAATAGACTTTTTATTCGTTAAATTTGTCTTAAAATGAAATTATTTTAAACGTAATATCATAAATAGACTTTTTTTACACGTGAGTTTTGCGTTAATGAAATTATTTTAAATATAATATCATAAATAGACTTTTTACATATGAATTTTGTGTTAAAATGAAATTATTTTAAATTTATATTTAATTTTCGCTTTTTAATATCTTGAACTGTCTCGAAAAAATTGATGATAATAAAATATGATAGTAATATAAACGCGTGACTCTTACGCAATTTTCAGCTTGTGATCGATCGATTGTTTAATAGCAGTCAAAAATGTTGCTGCTTTATAAAAATTAATTTAAAATTTTTAATTTTTATTTTTAAATATAATTTTGATTTTTTACGATCTGCAGTCGATTATTTGTATTGAAGTCAGAGTTTCACAGTAGCAATAATTCTTGATTTCAAAAGTATTGATTGCAAAACACTCTTTACAAATTAATGTTTCGAATGCAATAAATTTTTGCTACGTTTGGCTCTCTAATTGATGTAGAATGCTCGAAAAAAGATTTGAGTGACGTAAAGTTGTTACTTTTTAGGACAACTACGTCATTAATGAGCTATTAAAAGTCTTCTCACTTATTAAAATGATATAACTCCGACGAACTTTGTATCATATGACGCACATTATTAATACAGTATTATTCACAGCATTATTGTATATTACTGTCTGACATTTATACTCTTACAATTTGGCTATACAGCCTTTAAATTTGATTCCTATTTCGGAATCACTCTATATGTATAGGTAATATATAGATTATTCCATTGGGACTTTATATATCTGTCTAATCGATCTAATGAGAGGAAAGAAGTCTTTTAAAATTAACTTTTTTTGGGGGGGTAGGGGAGTGGAATTTTGTGAATAGACATGTGCTAATAATCGCATAGGCATGATACGAAAGTGCTTACACATGACAAGCGTAACTTCATAATGATCACCGGGGTCATATTGATTCGCTTTCGATATATCGCTTAATAAAAACATTCAATTAGCATGTATCTCAATGGGATGCTTTGCACGGCGCGTTTAGGATTGTGCAATGAATTTGATCGAAACGTATATTCAATTCTTCGAGCTTCGCCGCTGATATAGCACTTTCATATTAATAGGCCAAGGTCGTAAACGTATATAGCGAGCAATAGTTTGCATCTCGCGTTTTGCGGCAGGATCGTTGACCTCGTTGCTACCCCCCTATCTTTTCTAGGCCTTCGCGGTTTCCTTCAACCGTTTGTTTATATTTTGCATTTTCGCAATGCTTGTGAAAGAAGCCCTCTGGTATAGCTTCGTTTGCTCTGAGTAAAAGAAAGATGTACCTTGAGAGTAATGTAAGTAAAGTTGGGATATAGTAGCTTAAG